TGGCACCCAGGGACCTGAAGCAGGAAAATAGCAAGTTTGAGGCCAACTGAGGCCATACAGTGAGACACCTGACTGAAGATAAAAGTTAAGTTTCATCTTTCATGGAAGACAGACTTGTCTAAACTTTATTTTCTCTGGTTTCTTGGTGGTGGGGATGGGGTAGGGGTGTGGAAGTGAGTGAGTAGAACAATCTTCTGGATGATAGCACCTGATAGCTGGGGCATTTAGCTTGTGCTAGATACCTCAGCGAGCCCTCCTGTGAGTTCACTCAGGATACCCAGTAACATCTTTGGGTCACCACAGGTGCAGAAGGGCAAAGACTCTTGGAAAGGTTGGACAACTGTGGTTTCAGTTAACATCCTTGCCAGATTTAATAAATGCATCTTCATCAAGAGCCATGGGTTCCAGCTAATCCACACTTCTTCCCCGCCACAGCCCCTGCTTGCTCAGAATATGCCATGCCTAATCAATACACCTGATTTCCCTACTGGCTTCTGCTGTAGGCCCTAAAGACCCTGGGTTCTTTGGGGCTCTGTGGTGGTACACCTCCTTTTTTTTGCTTTTTCCTTCCTTTTCTTTTTGATGTGAGGTCTCACATGGCCTATGCTAGCCTTGACCTTTCTGTGTAACCAAGGCTGGCCTTAAACTCCTGGTCCTCTTGTCTCACCTCAGAAGCGCTGACTTTACAGCTCTGAGTGCCATCATATCCAGCTTTTCTTTGTGATTATTTTTAACTTTTTATGTGTTTGAGTGTTTGCCCGTATGGATGTCTGTGCACCACATTTAAGTCTTATGCCCATGGGGGATAGAAAAGGGTGTCAGACCCCCAGGAACTGGAGTTATAGATGGCTGTGATCTGCTGTGTGGGTGCTGGGAACCAAACACAGGCTCTTTGCAATAACAATAAATGCTCTAAACCACTGAGTCATCTTTCCAACCTTTCTTTTTTTTAATATAAAAAGGATTTGTTTAATGGGTTCACTATTATTTAGAGGCACTGGATTTATTTTAAATGTTTATTGTGGGGGCTCAAGAGATGGCTCAGCAATTAAAAACACTTATGCTCTTGCGGAGGACGGGATTTGGGTTTCAGCATCCACACTAGGCAGCTCACAACTGCCTATAACTCCACTACCAGGGGACCCAAGGCCCTCTGGCCTCTGAGGGCACCTGCATGCACCTGGTGCACATAACCTCACACAGGCACATATACATAAAAATAAATATTTACTGGGCACCTGTTGTATGTCAGGTACTGTGGAAGTAGCAGCTGAGGGAGCAGGAGTGGACAAAGTGACATAAATCTATAAGGAACACAGCGAATAGCAACATGAATAAATACAATAGCACCTTGTCGGCTAATGCTTCCGAGGAAAGCACATCAGGAAGGGTGAGGAGGCTGTGGGCCAGATTACAGTTCTAACAGAGTGGCCAGGGAGGTCATACTGAGGAGGTAACATTTACATTTAGGGACAACATACGTTTAAGTGGCACAGATGAATAAACACAACAGTTTCTATAGATGCTTTCCCTACCTTTCCTTTTAGTTTTTGAGACAGGGTCTCACTGTGTAGCCCTGGCCGGCCTGGAACTCACTATGTGGACCAGGCTGGCTTCCAAGTACTCAAGGTGTGCACCAGCATGCCCGATTTACATGGCTGTCCCTCTGAAGCTACTAATCGTGTGATTTTTTCCCCTTTAGTTTATGATGGTGGTGGGTTACCACTGCAGGTTTCCAGGTGTTAAATTGGTTTGGGGTCTCACAGATACACTCAATGTGACCATGACTTTCTGTCCTTCTAATGTTTGACTGGTTGTTGGTATTCTGATGTGATTTCGGCTTCTATGGACTCTGAGGCTGGCGCTGATGTCCTTCTCCTGGATTGTCAGCAAGTTTTGGCTTTAAGGTTGAGGTAGCCTCATATTATTCCTACTCTTTGGTTAACCCATGAGGCTGTTGATTTCTTCTGAAGGAAGATGTTTGGTGAACAACTTTTTCAGCGGTATAAAAGCACTCAGGTTTTCTGTCCTTTTCAGTCCGCTTGTACTGTTTTGTGCTTTAATTTTCTTCTTTCTTTTTTTGAGACAGGGTTTCTCTGTGTAGTTTTTGGTGCCTCTCCTAGAACTCACTCTGTAGGCCAGGCTGGCCTCGAACTCACAGAGATCCGAGTGGCTCTGCCTCCTGAGTGCTGGGATCAAAGGCGTGCACCACCACCGCCCGGCTTGTGCTTTAATTTTCAAGGTCTTGGCAAAAAGTTCCTTGCATCATCTTGTTACCCTTTACAGCCCATAATGTCTACAGCGATGTCATCTTTCACTCCTGAGACACGTTATTTGTGCTTGTTTTCATCAGTGTTTTACCACAGGCCAGTCACTAATAGTAGTTTTCACAGTACAATCTTTATGTTTTGAATATATAAAAACATCTGGGATTTGCTATTTGACTCTAGCCTAGAAGGTAAACTGTAGTCAGAGAACACATTCCATGTAATTCCAGTACTTTTAAATTTGTTTAAACTCGCTCTGGGGCTTAGACAGTTAGCTCAGTTCTGCCCTGTTCTGCATATTCGTGGGAACAGCAGTCCTGTGGTGCAGGAATTGAGTCAATTGTGTTAATCAGCTTGTTCAAAATTTTGGCTTCTTTCCTAATTTGTCTTATCAATTTGGGAAAAGAACACCAAAATCTTCCAAAGAGGATTGTGAATTCAAATGTCTTTCCTTCTAGTCCTTTGGAAGGATAAAATTGGGAGAAGTGGAGTATGAAAAAATTTCAAAAACAAAAACACGGGCTGGAGAGATGGCTCAGAGGTTAAGAGCACTGACTGCTCTTACAGAGGTCCTGAGTTCAATTCCCAGCAACCACATGGTGGCTCACAGCCACCTAATGAGATCTGGCTCCCTCTTCTGGTCATACATGCTGTATACATAATAAATAAATAAATCTTTAAAAAAAAAAAAAAAAAAAAGAAAAAAAAATATTTAAAAAAAAACAAAAACAAAACAAAAAAAAAAAAAAAAAACAAAAACACACCACAGCCAATCTAAAACAAGACAGGAAAGAAGGAAAACAAAACCAACCCAGCCAACCAGCCCCAAACTCTGAAAGTGGGACAAAGCCCAAACACAAAGGTGAGTTCAAGTGTAAATATATCAGTAACCGATGCCATCTAACGGGCTAAGGCCTCCGAGAACAGAAACCGTCAAGGTGGATTATGAGGGAAAAGCCTTGCAGCCACGGGTCATTAGAAGGAGCCACATGTAAAATCCAGAGATCAGCTAGTCCGGAGTTAAGTCACATTACCAGTGGGCGGCACTCAGGTGGAGCAGTGACTCGCAGGGTGCTGTGGGAAGTCTCTGGTGGTCCCTGCGGTTACTTCTGCCAGCCTTCCATCAGCCTGCTCAGTGAGCTGGACCCTCCCACTTTTCTGGCCCATGGATGATAGAAGGTCCCCACCCAGGTGTGGCCTAGGGTCACTTCCCAGAACAGTAGTGGACACACCGTCTCTGGCCCCCACCTCCAGGCCAGTAGATCTGCAACAAGTTTAACCAGGTTGTCCCAGAACAAGCCTGTGCCGGAACTGTTCTCAGTGAGTCCAGAAGGCTTTCTGGTTATCAGCGGTGACAGGAGCAGGTCCTGGAGACTTCCTGCAGTGTGAACAGAGCAGACACCACACAGCTTCAGCCGGTTCCATGCTCATGTTTCAGCTAAAGTTTTCTTTAAACCCGTTACACTGTCCGACTGGATCTGAACCACTTACTGCCTTTACCTGTCCTAAGCAGGCACAGCAGAGGCGAGGACTTAACACCCAGCAGAAGACAGGCCCTGGCAACTCAGCCCCGCACCGCTCTTTGTTCACTTGTGCTGGCTGCCTTCAAGGCAGATGTGCCACGCAGAGCATCACGGTCTCTGGCTTAGAAAAAGAGTCACTCAAGCAGGGCAGACCAAGGTCCTGTCCTAGCCAAGGCCACGCACATCAGGCCCCAATTTGTCTCATTAATTTAAGAACGCCTAAGTCTTCCAAGTAGGATTATGAATTTGAATGTTCCTTCTTCACTCTCCGAACCTGTCTTACCCCTGCCCATTGGCACTAGGAACACCAGCACTGCCCCACTAGCCTGGAGATGCAGCTGCCCATTCCTTACAAGTGGAGGCCGCAGTCTTTGGTTTTCTACTCCAACCTGCAGTGAGCTGGACTTGTTCCAGCCAATGCCCTGTGCGTACCTTGTATTACATTCCAGGTGGACTTCTTGGGGGTATGCTTTAGTCTCTAGGTCAGTGGTTTGAGAACCTTCCTGATTCTGTGACCCTTTAATACAGCTCCTCATGTTGTGGTGACCCCCTCCCCAAGCATAAAATTATTTCATTGCTACTCATGTTATTTGGCTACTGCTATGAATTGTAAATATCTGATGTGACTCCCTGGGAATGTGAACCATAGGTAGAGAAACATGGCTCTAAAACACTTTAATGATCTTTTGTGACTGTGTCTGCCCAAATCACACTCACCAAGTCCCAGGCCTGAAGGGCACTCAAGTCTTGGATATCTCCAGAGACCATGACTTTAGAGTGTCACAGGGCAAAGCAGCCACAAGTAACTGCTTATGGTTGTCACGGACAAGGCATGTCACCCTGAGCTTCAGCAGCCAGCTCAGGCCCTGGCCTTCCCAGCTCCCATGGGTATAGGTGCAGCTCCTGAAAAGTCCTCAGGTTCAAAAGGAATTCAGATCAACTCCAAAGGACAAGGTGAGTAAACGTGGATGGCTAGCCGTGGTACATTACCAAGCATCTCACCAGGGCAGAAGCAGATGGAGTGACATCTAGTCAGCCAGGCTAAACCCAAGAGTGGCCCAGGCCTTAGTGTACTATGAGCTAGATGGTGCCCTCCTCCCCGATTATATGCTGAAGGTTTAATCCTAACAGGCACGTCCAACCTGCACATAGCTGAGAAATGCTACACATGCAACCCAACACAAACCTGTAAACGGATTTAAAACAGGAGTTTTTGTTTGTTTGTTTGTTTTTAATCTCAACTGTCTGGTTCTTGAATGTGAACTTTCTAGATGACAACACTTTGTCATAATGTCGAAAGGCTGACCATGCTGTGCCCCCTGGCACTTCAGAATGTGACGTTCCTTAGAGTCTTTAGCGAAGATGAGTTCAAATGAGAATGAGTGCCAACCCAAACATCCTGTGTCCTGGCAGGAGGGGCATTTGGAGAAGAGACTCATAGAAGATACCATGAGCATGAAGACAGCCTCCAACGGAGCCAGATACCCTCTGCAGAACCAACCCTGACAAGACCTTGATTTGGGACCCCTGATTTAAGCTGCCCAGACTAAGTCTGTGACACTCTGTACACAGCCTGGGAGACTGGCACATGTGCAGTACTCTCCCCAGGAACCCTGTGGCAGTCTGTGCCCAGCCTCACTGCGCATGCTCAGCTCTCTTGAGGTGTGTGTGTGTGTGTGTGTGTGGAAGAGGGAAACGTAAGCTGCCTAGTTCTCACTGTACTGGTGACAATCCAGGCAACCATGCCCGAGTGCCGTCCCCTCTGAGCACTCTTCCACTGAAGCCAAATGGCCTTTTCTTAGCAGCTAATATATTTAATTTTAGAATCCATGTGGGTCAGTTCAGCTTAGACCACAGGCCAGGCTCTCCCTAAATGAGATCTGTGAATATTCACTCTAGACAGACAAAGACTGGCCTTTTAGTGTCCTTGAGATCAGGAGCAGGAGATTAAGGTGCCTTCATGGTGCCCTCTGCAGCTGGCTCTGTGCATATGTGGTATGCATGACGCCCACCTGGAACCTAGATGGCTCTGCTAAGGAGGAAGAGCAACTGGCTGACTGAACCTGAGCCAAGAAAGCCGGAGGCATGGCTGAGGAAAGCCTCTACAGTGGCTCTGTGCAGACATGGGGCCTGGTACAGCAGAGGCAAAGGGCCAGACTTGCAGCAGTGATCAGAGCCGCTGAGCAGGTAAGGAGGGTACACCCTGGGAAGCAGGCAGCCTGCGATGGTTTTACCCCAGAGGGTCCTACCAGGCATCCTGGCCACCCAGCATCCTCAGCAAGCCTGAGCAAAGGGACAGTACAGTTAATGGGCCCCCCACCTCGGATCCCTGTGGTCACCTCCCCAGAGGTCTTTGCTGAGGGCTCCCCCTAGCCGGCTGTTAGGTTCCTTGTGCTGGTTTGGAATGCTGGGTGCTGCCACTCCAGCAGCCTGAGGTTCTGTGTCTGCACTGGTTGCTGGTGAGGCCACAAGGGGGACTGAGGCAGTAGGCACTGAAGGGGAGGGGGAATTCTGGTGGCATCCGATGTGTTCCAGAAGGGGGTGTGCAGTCAGCACAGTGTGGCCTCCAGGTGCTGAGGAGATCTGCTGGGATGAGCTACCCGTGGGCCTGGAAGATTCTCCCAAGGAACCGTCTGGAGGCAGCTGAGGCACCAAACTGCCCTTTCCTCTAGAGAGTCCTGGGCGATCCCCAGCCTTGCAGCCTTCTGCCTGGGCCCGCAGGATCTTTGGTCTGGGCCTGCTGGGGCCCTTCTGCCTCCAGTAGGGTAGGTGTCTGTGGTCCAGTCTGTTGGCCCAGCGAGGTCTCTGGGGGAGGGTCAACCGCCAGGAAGCCTGGCCTTTTGGTCCAAGGCTCTGTGGGCGCCTTCTCAGCCGGTCCATCTGGGTCCTCATGGTGGCCACTTCCTGAGTCAGGCCTGCCAAGGCTGATGCAAGCTGATCCAGCTTGTCCGTGAGGGCAGTACCAAGGCTGTGTAGCTCCTGCTGCAGGAATCTGCCACAGGGGCATGGTGTCTGGAAAGACGTGGGTGGCCACTTTGACAAGACAGTTGTGGGAAGGGGAGACTTGCTAGGTGGCTCCGGAGGGTCCCCAGAGAGCAGCTTCCCTTGAGTCCTGGCTGAAACCAGAGAAATGATGGGTAAGAGTACTTAGGTTGTAAGGGCCTTCTCTCTGGCCCCAGAGACCTCTGTAGTGTATTCAGTATCCTGCCCCCATAAGGCCTGGCTTTCAGAGAATTTTAATCTTAGGTTCCTCCCCTCTGACCCCCCCAAAACATCTAATTAACTCTTCAGTCCCACATCCCTTGGAGTGGGTCTCACCCAGGCAACGTGGTGCTGGTCAAGGTCCCTGCCATTCTTCACCCACTCACCAGAATGGAAGAGGGGGCTGCTGTTTACTAAAGCCCAGGCAAGGCCCTGCCCTTGTCTTTTCAGTACCTTTAGGGCTGCAGACAGGGAAGGACAGGTGATGGCCCAAGTGGCCCAAGGACCCACACACCCTGTCTCACTAAGTTCTTGAATTAGAGCAAGGATCTGAAATTGAGGCAGGAGGATCACACGTTCCAAGTGGCCTAGGTTACTTGTCTCCCACAAGACTTTTGAAACCTTATCTCAAGCGAAGACTAACAACTAAACATCACAAAACAAAGTAAGAATGTGGCCTGATGCTTCATCTGAGGGAGGGCAGCCAGGGCTCTTAACAAAACCCTGTACTCTCAGAGGAGTCAAAGTTCACAGGCAAAGAAGGTGCCCAGCACATGCGCGCACGCACACGCACATGCAAGCCAGCAAGGGCGTCGGCACAGACCCCTGCGTCCTGCAAACCTGTGGTGCCTTCCGAGCACGGCTCCGGGTACAGATGCGTCACCCTGCCTGTTGTCACTGTGGGTCCCTGAACAAGGCGATGGGAAGCCCATGCTTTGTGCAGGACCCCAGCCAGGCCACTCAACAGTGTTGAGGTTCAGTTCCCTCAAACCCGAACTTGGACTCCAGATGCTTCTCAATGCCTCTAAAAGAGGGCCTGTGGGCTTTTATGAAAACCCTGAAGTAAAGTGAACCACGTACCTGAGTGGCTTCAGTATAAGATTTTCCTACCCATAACCCAAGTGATGAACTTGGAGCATGCTTACTTCCTTAGGCTGGGGCCTGGGTTCTGATTTTCCCAGAGGCCACTAAAGCACAGCAAATGCTGGAGAAGCCACCAGCTCACCTGTGGCACTGGGTTGCCCATGTCCAGGCTCCAGGTCACTGGTGTCTTCAGCACCCTTGGGCTCAGGCCTTTCTTCCAGCTGAGAGGCAGGCCACGGGCACCCGGTTACCTCTGTAGAAAGAGCATCAGCACTTGGGACAAGGACAGTTCTGGCAGTGCCACTTCACATGGGGCTGTCCTCATGGAGCCACACCCCCACTCCCACCCTCCCCCCAATGACAGCGATTAAATCAGGTGCAAGACGCTGGGGAGTCTAACGCTGGTGGTGGGCTGGCCTGCTGGGGCATGTGGGAACCCCTCTGCCATTTCCTGTAAATCCTCAGCGACTTGTAAGGAAATGTGAGTGTGGCTCATCCTGAGTCCTACATAGGTGGTAGCCAAGGCCTGGGAGCAGCAGCTCCGAAGACGATTGCCTGGCCCCTACCTCCTCTTTCTCCTCCTCCTTTTACTTCAGCGCTGCTGACAGGGCCAGGCTGGCATGTGTGCTCTGCAGCTCCTTCTCTTCTGGGTGACTGGGTCTTGACTCCTGTCCCTTCTGCTCTTCCTGTTAGGAACAAAGTCTGGGTCACAGCTCAGGTGGAGAGTAAAGTGGCTTGTAACACCCGGTGTCATTTCTAGACTTCTGGGCAATTCCAAGAAGTTCTGTTCTCACTGTGTATGATCAGACCCAGCCTCACGCATGTTAGACATGTACTTTACCACTGAAAAAGATCACTGTTGGTATTTTCTTTGTTAATTGCCAAGTTTTAAAAATGTTACTGGATACTAACTATATGGTGTATATATGTGTATGCACACATATATATATATATATATATATATATATATATATATATGCGCATGTATGCATGTATTAATGAGCATATATGCAGATAGTATGTACATATCATTCAGTGGTTTACCCAGATTTCCTTACAGAACACAGCCCTGGGCTCAGCTTCCCTCACAGGATCTAAAGTACAACAAATTATGGGGATGTTTTAATGAGAGCCAACAGAATGACAACCAAACCCAGAGAATGAAGTCTGGACCTTTGGACCATGGGGACATGTTGCTGTCATCCGGAGACTCCAGACTTACCTGTACTGAGGCTGCTGCAGTCCCTGGACTCTGTTCTGTCAGGGTCTTCAGCAAGACAGCTATTGTTGTTGATCCCTGGGAATGTTCCAGGGACAGGGCACAGAGGGACAGGACCCTTGCCGGAGGGGAGGTGGTCTTTCTCTGTGTCGTAAGTAAGCTAGCATCAGAGTACTGACCAGCACCTCAGAGAGCAGCTCACTGCCACCACCCACCCCCATGCCAGCAGACTCACTCTGGAGGGGTGGCTGCCAGAATGTAGGATCTGGCCTTAGGTCTTCTCCATCAGAGCTGCTGAAGCTGGAGCTGGAGCAGGGGCTGGGACTGGGGTCAGGACCAGTCACACAGGTGAAACGCAGGGGTCTCACGGGCAAGATCCCCCTCAGAGAGCTCTCCAGGCAGTGTAGAGGGGAGGGCATGGTGGCTGTCTCTAAACAAAGGAGAAAAGAGTTCACTGCCCAGTTCCTGACAGCACAGTTTTGGTGGCCAGGCACTTAGGATGCATCTTTTCCCCACTCAGCCACAGCCCACTTGGGCTCTGGTGGACCCCGAACAATTTACTTTCTGGTCATAGGTAGAGAGAAACAAACCCAGAGGCTAGCATGTCCCCAGACAAGTGAGCTGGGGAACTTTCCAAAGTTCCAAGCTCCTAGAAGCTACTCCTGGTCAGGTTCCAGTTAGGTCCTGAGTCTTGCATGCGAGGCAGCCCTTCCCATTGGGTAGACTGCAACCTACAACTTAGCAGACCCTCTACCCAGCACTATGCAAGAGTTTAGTGAGGACCACTGGTGAGCGAAGTCATCCTTCCACCCCCTGGAGACGAGAATGGTCCTGCTGGAGCTGCCTGTAGTCAACAGTGTGTACAGGGTACCCTTCAATGCCAGCAGCGTCTCCACTTCAGACACCCCAAGGAAAGCAAACATCCTGTTCTTTCTTAGTCCACTCTGTTGGGTCCACGTCTATATTCCGTGCAAGGGCAGGAAAGTAGGGAAGGAACAGAAAAACAGAGGAGGGAAGGCTATCACCTTGGCAAAAACTAACTAGAGGGAAACTCTGGTGTAAACACAGAAGGCGGCTCACCATCTTTCGGCCATTGCCACGGTCCTGGCCTGGCAGTCACTTGGTGGCAGGTGGGGGCGCAGGTCTGTGGACTGCCTAGACGGAGACTCCTGCTGGGCACTTCTCCCCGACCCTGTCCAAGGTGGGGTGGCTCACAGGCCTCGCCCCTCGGTCCTGTTTTAATGAGAAGAGTTCTGACAGTCCTACGGGACCTCATACTACCACAGAATGGCTTTTAGCACACAAGTTTCAGGTCACTACAGCAGCCCAAACCCCTGGGGCCTCTCTACTCCCAACCCACACTACACGGGATCCCAGGAGGTGAACAACTCAGTGTCCAGACAAGGGACGACACAGTCACAACAGAGACGCCGGTCAGCAAAGCTCTGGCTCAGCGGAGCAGCAGACAGGGGTGCTGGGCCTCCACGTCCTGGACTCTGACTGTGAGTCTGCACGAGTCGGGGAGAGACTAGGCTAGCTGACTTTCTGCCCCCAGCCTCTGCCCAGGCCTGCCTCCAGAGCCTCCTCTCAGCTCAGCTGAGATCTGGCCCGAGGGCCACTACCCTGCTGCCAAAGCCACTGTGCAGGAGGGATTGCTCTTCCCCCAACTATCTACAAATGCCATTTGTTACCTTCTGTGTCCGCAGTCCAGTTCCTGGGCTCTGTTCTCTTCAACCCCCTGTCTGCAGCCAAGGAGCAAGGCCAGGCAGCCTGTGGCCTGGGAATAGGGATCTCTCTTAGACAGTTCTCCAGGCCTTGCAGTGGAGAGTGTCCTGGTAGATATCCTGTAGTCAAACATGAACAGTCTTGGATGGGTAGCCAGTGCTCTGTGAATCCGGGGAGCCATTTCTTCTGCCCTGATTAGGGCAGAGGAAGGAGGCACAGAATACAGGATGTGTCCAGGTAGCTCAGGGCCCCAGATGAAGACATGGCTCCAAGCACTTGTCAGCCTTGGCCTGGGGTAGCCCTGCTCAGGCTGCCCTGGAAGAAGCCTACATAGAAGTCTGCCTTGGGGGCTGGAATGAGATAGTCTAGTCACAGGCGTCTAGCACAAGAGCCGTCACCATGTCAGGGAGTGATGCTGCTGCCTGCTTAGTGCGCAGGACACCCTAACAATCAATTGTGTCTTCTTTTACCCCTCCAAGGAGGGCAATGATGCAGGCCTTCTTGCCTCTCAGTATCACATCTGGGCACAGGAGGTCTAATTCTCGATAGGTTTCAGATACATTTCAATGCTAGTACTCCTACTGATAGAGTCTTGTGCAAATAACAGGAACTAGACGATGTGAAATTCTAGAGGGATAAGGTAGGCAAACAGTACTAGTCATGAGGCCACGAGGCACCTGTTGTCTACTCTGGAAGCAGGCAGAGATTATAAGAGACGACCACGTGGGTTTGGTATAGCATAGCATAGCATATCACAGAAGTACAAACCACATCAGCAAAGGTGCTTGGCACCAAGCACACTTGAGTTTGAGCTCCAGAACACATACGGTGTTGGAAAATTGAGAACTGACTCTTGCAAGTTGTCCTCTGACCACATGTATGCCATGGTACACATGGGAGGGCAATGAAAACTGAGGGGCATTTGAGTTCCTCAGTAGGATTCAGGAAAGAGAAAGCAGGCTCCATAATGAAAGCAGTCTCCCAAATGCTACAAGAGTAACTCCAACTTGCAGCAAAATGTCACTTAGCTCTTCTATGTGCCAGACAAGAAAGAGCAAAGTAAGCCATCCTGCTCACAATTAGGCAGTGTTTGGCAAGACTGACAGAATCTCAGATCAGGGCAAGAGCAGAGTACACATGAATGTGCGACTTGCCCAGCGTCTGGCTCTGTCTGTGCCTCCTGTTGTCTGGGCCTGTATTCAGCTCTGCTGCTTTAACAATGGGCAACAGCACTCCAAGCCCAGCTCTACACTGACTCTGCTGTACACTGAGAGCCATATAAATCAGGAGCTTGGTGGGTGTGGGCTTGGGGACTCTGAGAAAATCACTGCTGACAGGCATCCATGGTACCTGAAGAACATCAGATAAACTCGTTTAACTCATCAGGGTAAACTAGAATGAGTCACTCTGGGCTGCTGGTGCCACGCCACTGAGGCAGATGTCAATTTATGTTGCCAGGCCTTTAACAATGGATGTGGCCAGGGCACAGTTGGGCAGATGCACTGGGTATCCACCCACAGGACAAGACAGACATGATGGTTCCAAGAGAAAAGTCAAAGGGGGATGCTGAGAGAGCTCCAGAAGACCCCAAAATCCCCAAGAGTGACTTCCTTTGGCAGGGCCCAGGGAGGCACAGATTAATGAGTATAGTTCTGCAGGTGGTTTTCTAAGATCTGCACTGTCCCCTCAGCTGGAGGTCATTTAGTACTATAGACACTTCTTTTTGTCTGCGACAGGGAAGGGTTTAGTGTAAGGGAGATTAAGGACACATTGCCAGCCATTGTCCTATCCTTTCTGAGCCAAGCTACTACAACAGACCCCTCTCACTTCCCAAGACAAGTCCTGGGTGTGTTTCTGCTTTGGTATACCCAGTTCTTCTTCTGGCACTGAGGCAGAGATCATAGTGGACAAGGACCAATGTATTCCTTCCCAGAGGACTCCAACCTCAGGCTGGACCAGCTCACCTTTCCCAAGCCGTTGCCCCTGACTGCTCCTGGGGCTCCTGAAATCCAGATCCCCATCACTGCTGCTGGCTGAGGAGAAGCTGGTAGGGGTACCCTGGGAGCCAGAGGACTGAATCCCAGGTCCCTCTCTCATGCAGCCCCGCAAGCTCAGAGGCAGAAGTGGCTCTCTCGAAGCATCTGCAGAGAGAAGTATAATTGGGTCAAGGCAGAGCATGCTGGAGAAGTCCTTGAGCCTTAGAGTATATGGCACCAGAAGACCCAGCCCAGGGAGCCCCTTCCCCTTCCAGGGTTTCTTTCCCAAGGCACTGATGAAAAGTCTACCCCCGCTCCCCCATACGGTCTTGGGAATAAGAAGACCTCAGAGCAGGGAAGTGGGTGGGGAGAATGTGGCCCTCACCAAACCTGGATAGCTATTTGGGGGAAGGCATGAAGCAGGGGTTAGGAAAGAAGGGCACATGCTTGAGGAGGAGGAGGCCCAGAGAGGATGAGCAGATGGTCCCTCAGCACCTTCCCACTGTATGCACAGGAATAGCTGTCAGCCTGGGCCCCAGTACCTGCACTCTGAGATCCTTGTGGCTGTAGCTCAAGTCTCTGAGAGCCAGCATCTCCTGGCTGGGGACTTCTGGACCATGAGGTGGCTAGCGGCTGAAGAGGTGATGACCCACCTGGAGGAATGCCCTTCAGACAGGCCTCCAGAGCTTCTAGGGGTGAGCTTGAGGCCCTGCCGGCTGGACAAGAGAGGCCACCTTGTCATCTCCTCTTGCTGGGCTCTGGCCTGCTTGTCAGACCCCAGCTTGGCCTTTGGCTGGCTGGGTGGCCCACAGCCTGACTTCTACAGCAGGCTCCAGTGATCTGCTAAGCAGGAGATCCTCCAATGAGGAACTTTGAATGCGTTTTCTGCTTCTACAGAAGGAATGAAGCTGTCCCCAGCTCTGAGAAGGGTGGAATAGCCACATGCATGCCATGGCCAGCTTCCACAGCCACAACCTCACTGCAAAAAGAAGGTCCTGAAACCAGAGGGTGCATGAGCATGGGCCTGGACTGAGAACATGAATTAAGATGGAACAGCTTGGGAGGAGAGGCAGGGGAAAGGCTCCTTGGCCAAAAGAGAAGCAGGTACTTCCCTGTGGGCTTTGGAGCCCAGAACTTACCAAGAGTCATGGGGCCCCAGCGGGGCACACGGACCTCTCTGCTATCTCCAGTGAAATAGGGACCGTGGCCTTGCCTGCTAAGCTGGCAAGATGCTGGCACTGGGGGACTCTGGACCCAGCCATCTTCTACCTTCACCACGGCAAGCATACTTCCAGCTCCTTGACTACGGCGGAGAGGAGGAGTCTGGGGGCATCTCATCCCTGTGGGAAAGGTGAGTGCTGGGAAGCCCTGGTTGCAGGCTTAGACTCAACCTAAGTCCTAAGAGCTCCACTTTATAGGGTTCGGAGGGACTTCCAAGGTCCCTCTGCCTACATAGCAGTCACTAGCTCTGGGTATGATCACCTCTCAATGCCAAGCACAGATCCAAGTAACATCTCTACCACCTTTGGGGTGCTCAGGAGTTTTCTAAGGGATGTTAAAGTGAACCCCTCATGCTTTAAAGGTCAGCAACAAATCAGACCTTGCTCCTCATGCTTCAGGCCTGTTCAGCCCCACCCTCTCAAGGCCGTGCTCTCGGGAACACAAGCTTATTGATGAGCTGACAAATATCCCTGGTGCAAACATGCGTGCTGGGAAACCCATCCTCCAGCCATACCCGCTGCCTGAACACAGGACGGCAGCAATCCCCAGTCACAATTACGGTCTACTGTGCTACACCTCCTGCCTTCTGTTCCATTTCCGTCTCCCACCCCAATATCCTTTCTAGAAAGTTCTTCTAGCTCTTTTACCTCCTATAACAAGAGCCAGTTTGGAAAATTATGAAGCTGACTAAGGGTCTCCCACATGCTCTGCCCTTGTACAGAGTGATGAGGTCCAGCATGGGGTTGTCGGACCAACATGCTGACACAGGACATCAATTTTGTTGTGAAGGGTCACACACAGCTGTACTCAGAGCAGGGAAACCAAAGACATTACATCTAGCTCCCCACCACTAATCTAGCGAACGGCCTTTACCTCCAGAATTCCTTTTCCCTGGATCTTCCTGCAGCTGCAGGTCCCCTGCTCCTGAGGGGCTGGGACGCCTGTCTGGGGCTTCTGGGATCTCCTTCAGACAGTTCAGCAGGCCCTGAAGGGGACAATCCCCGGATATTGCCTCTGTCTTCACTAAGGGAAAAGACATATGTTTCACTTAAGTTCAGCGACCTCAGTCTTCTGACAGACAGACAAGGACTGTCCTGGGGTGCAGTTTGAGCAGCACAGGGTCAGAAACCAGGACCTGTAAACCTTCCAGGTGGGCAGCACCTACGCACAGCTATCACTCGGGGTGCAAATTGAAGAGGGTGGGCTGGCAATTTCTGAGTTCTGAGTACAACTTAGCTTCAAGGTTGACATATACATGGAATGTTCATACCCATGAGAGGAATTCTGTAGTTAAGTTCACCCAACCCAGAGGATGGAGCAGCTATCCTCTACAGACGCAAGATCAAAGATCAAAGGCCGCCTTTTGAGGGGCAACCTCAGGCAGACTTCAGTGTCCACTGACACCTCATTCATGTCAACAGAAAGTGACATTTTAGCCCTAAAGTACTCAGAGTCCCACATTAGAAGGAGCAGAGAGAGAGGGGGCTGGAGAGATGGCTCAGGGGTTAAGAGCACTGCCTGCTCTTCCAGAGGTCCTGAGTTCAATTCCCAGCAGTCACATGGTGGCTCACAACCGTCCGTAATGAGATCTGGTGCCCTCTTCTGGCCTGCAAGCATACATGCAGACAGAACACTATATACATAATGAATAAATAAATCTTTAAAAAAAAAAAAAAAAAAAAAAGACCAGTGAGGAGAACAGGACAAAGTCTGCTGCTGCTATCCTTGAAAGCCACTGGGCTTCAGACAGCTGACCCTAGGGACACAGGAGCACCCAAAGTGGTCATCTCACGGGAGATGGCATGGAACACAGCAAGAGCTATGAACGTTGATTTGAACTTTCCAGGGACTGTGGAGACTTTGGCCTGAGCAGGCCAGGTGCCCAGGGACTCACCCGGGCAGGGCAGGCTCCCTGGCTCCACCTCAGCTCTGCTCTGCTTCAGCACACTCAGGCCAGGCAGAGAAGCTGGCAAGTCTGCGGCTGTCCCACGGTGCTGGGGCCCAGGCACAAGGATCTCCTTCAGACAGTTGATGAGGCCTTGCAAGGGACTGTTCTCAGGACAGGTTCCTACGCACATACAAGGCAGCTAAGTCAGTGTAGTCCCGACAGGCAGCACGAGACCCTCAGCTATCCCCACCATCTCTGGGCAGCTGAGCATCACCCATACATACACACAAAGCTTATCTTACAGCTGTGGTTCTCAACCTGTGGGCCATGACCCCTTCAGGGGGCACATATTGGATATTTACATTATGATTTATAATAGCAAAATTATAGTTATGAAGTAGCAATGAAATAACTTCATGGCTGGGGGTCACCATAACATGAGGAACTAACTGTATTAAAGGGTCACAGCACTAGGAAGGTTGAGAACCGCTGTCTTACAGGGTTGTCATGAAGTTCAGATGACAGTGACATGATTTTCTCTGACCCTACTCAGCTCTGGACTGCTCGACCCCAGGAGAGCCAGCCTTTCACCTGTTCCTATGCTGCCTCTATCTTGTCTTAGGTGGCTCTTGCTCTGGTCCAGGCTTCGAGTGGAATGAATGGAAGTCTCTCCTGAGGCTCCTAAACCTTCCTTCTCTATGGAGAGTGGTTTATCAGTAGCTCCTACTGCAAAACACAAAGAAAGCCATGTTAGGGGGAACTTAGACTCTGGGATCACCCCAGGTCTGCTCCCCAAGAGGACAGACCACTCTAACTCTCCAGCCCTCTGAGAGCCACCCAAACCCTAAAAATTAGCCTCGTGCTGGGGCTATCTTTGGAGGACTTGTTCCAGGAGGGCTGGAGGCTATACCCTGTTTCCTTCTGGTTTAGCTGTAAATACCAGGACTCGTTCATGCTGAATGTTTCCAGACCCTTTCCCTGACCCCAGTCTCTGAATCTGGCCCAGCTAATGAAGCCGACAGCCACAACACAGGTCAGGCTTGTACTCATGCTTTTTCTTCCTTTTTAGTGTGTGTGTGTGTGGTTGTTGTTGGTTTTTTTTGACTGCTTCGTTTTGTTTTCCCTGAGAGACAGGGTTTTTCTCTGTGTAGCCCACCACTTCCTGGAAGTACTCATACTTCTTATGTGGGCTTGTAAGACAGATGGCACATGGAACCATAGGCTAATTGGAGTACATTTTTGGGGAGTGTCCATTTTAATCTTTATTTCTTTAAATATTCTAAGTTAAAACACCAAACAGGGCTGGAGAGATGGCTCAGCCATTAAAGGCTAGGCTCACAACAAAAAATAAAAAACCAACACATTCAGACAAGTACAGTTTCGAAGTATTGTAGAAGATCAACTGAGACCGCAGAGGACTTTAGAGGCCGGCACTGCCTCCCTGCTGCCAGCCCTGCCGAGGCAGCTGAGAATCAAAGCAGAGCACAGAGGTGAGTGATCTGCCTGGCTTGCACATGAGGAACTTTCCAGAGCTCTGTGTGTGTGTGTGTGTCCAGTCCTCAGTGATGAACACAGGGACAGGCCATCTGGAACTGAGCATCAAATCACCTGTCTGCAGACCAGAGGCCAAGTGTGTTCTCATTATTCAGAGATCTTTGTTTCCAGTCACCTACAGAGGAAGCTGAGCCAGAGAAAGTGAAGAGGGTATGGGCTCTAAGACCGAGTCTAGGGTAGGCCTTGACAACGCTGGGTGTCCCTGTGCACATTGGGTCAGACTCACTGGTAGGCAGGGGGCTTTCTTGGGCCCAGTCTCCAGGAGGGCCACTGGAAGATGAGCTGCCTGTGGGTGTGGTGGCCAGGCTGGGGTGGCTTGCAGGGCTCTCCGGAAGAGAACGAAGCAGGCCTCGGGGAGGGTAAGTTTCCACAGCCCCAGCTACTGTTGGGAGATGGAGAAGACGCCAGCTGGTAAGCTGTCCTCACATTGCCACAGTCAGTGCTTTCCCTGTCCTAGGCCACTAACAACAGCCAGGAGCCAGTGGCCTACTCGGTGTCATTGCTGAGCTCTGAAACTTGAAGATTTATGTCTCAGCCATGTCCCGATAAAGCAGAGCGGCGAGTACAAAGCCACATCCCGCCCAGTCAGTGCCACTCTATACCTCCGCTCCCTTCCTCTGTCCCCCAACACTAACTGCAGAGGGCTGCAGCAGGTAGGGGACATGCTCTAGGGGGACCAGGTGGAGAGGGGAAAGAACAGACAGCTTGCGAGGCAGAAAGAGAAAGGCTGGCAGCAGGACCTAGGACCCACTGGCTATCTGGACAAAACTCAGCTTCTCTCCTGTTCCCCATCTGCTTAACAGGGACAAACACACTGCTCACCACCATGCAAAGTACAAGGCAGCAGGGGGGATCACCAGGTGGCTGGACACAGAAACACCGAGAGAAGGCATGAACTGTTCCCACCCCCACTAGGTCCCAAAAGCTCAGAGGATGAGCACAGAGAGAGAGGTCAAGAGCTGAGCCGGAAGGAACTACGCACAGCCCTGTGCACTGTACTGAGGTCACTCTTGCAGCTTGTGTGACTTACCCTCAGGGCTCGCTCGCTCCCCATCCAGACTGGTGCTCCCACTCTCAGAGTAGTCCTCAGTGCCCTTCACTTCTCCAAACAAGAACTCTGGAATCTCCTTCACCAGCTGCACTAAGGCGGTGAGGTGTAGGCTCTGCTGGGGCTGCCCTCCTGTGGAGAGGTGTGTGAGCCTGTGCTCGGTCACCTAGCTCTCCAGGGAACCCTCTCAATCACAGATGGAGCAGCCAAAGGGAGCACATGGCTCAGAGAATGGAGGGCTGAGCTCAGGAGGGTTCTACGCTGTTACCCAGCAGTTCCTCTTGTCTCCTTTCCACTGAGAGCAACATTGAAGGGTCCTGCGGCTCCATCTGGCCATCTCCCTTCCTCACTTACTCCGGGCCCCATATGCCACCTCTACTGTCTAAACAGCAGGCTTCTCTGGTAGGGGTGAGTGGGGCCCAAGGCAGAGGTTCTCCCCATGTGACCTCAGGTTTTATTCTGAGCATTTCTCCATGGACTGGACTACATGCAAGGAGCCTCCCCCAGAGGAAGAGCGGCAAGCCTCAAGGAGGCCTGGACTGAATTAGCTGAAGTCAGTGTCACTTGAGGGGCAGAACCCAGGGGCTGAAACCATGACTAGGAGGAGGTGCTCCAAGTCCACTGGGAGGGCCTACCCTGGGCACCACGCTCCAGTGGGGGTTCCTGTCCCTTATCATGGTGGCCCTCTCCTGCGGTGGCTCCTCCAGGCTCTGTGGGTGACAGGAAAGCAGAGAGAGGAAGCAGCTCAGAGGTCCCTGGGGAAAGAAGGAGCAGTTACTCTGGGAACAGAGTGGCTTGTACCCTCCCGCAGTCATGTGATAGCCCAGATGCCTGTTTATCTACGTAAGGCTTTCCATTCATGTTTGTGTGGTCACCAAATCCAAAAGACCAGACACCCCTAAAGCTTTGCACACCCCCACTCTGGCTCACAGAAATGAGCAAAGGAAAGTGAGGCCCTGGGCAGCCTCAGGCTCTGAGCACTCCCCTGAAACTACTCAATTCACAGATGAGGAGGCCAAGGCCTGGAGGAGCCTGGGGTCTCACGGAGACTCCAGACCCTGGGCACAGACCCTGGCCTCCTTTCCTGCCCCTCTTCTGTCCCTGCAACCCGCACTCTGGAGGCCTCAGGACCTCACCCACAGACACCAACGTCTCGTAGTTTTCCCGCATCACGTCTCTGTAGAACTCCCGCTGCCCCTCCTGCAGGAGCCGCCACTCCTCTTCAGAGAACCGCACGGCCAAGTCCTTGAAGCTGATGGGCACCTGTGGGCACAGTCTCCGGGGGGGTTGGCTGCATCCCGGCCAACATGGCCCACCCAAACTGTCCCTTAGCTCAGGGAGCCACATGCGTCTCCTGGTAAACACCAGGAGCGGGCAGTGCAGACATGGGCGGGATCTGGCCTGGGTGCAGCGGGTACTGGGACAGTGCCTGGGTGCCCAGGAAGGTGTGCCACCAGCACCATTTTGGAAACAAGGTCACCACAGGTGTAACTAGGAAAGACGAAACTCCGTCCCTTAGTACCCAGCCAGCCCTATCTGCTGTGTCGGTTACTAAGTGACTGTCTGAGAAGCTGGGACTCCAGCACCGGGGCACTGAGAGGGGGACATCAAGTTACTAAGAAAACCAGCCCGTTACCAAGGTCTACTACTCTTTCCCCAAATCCTTGGGGTCAGATGTATTTTGAATATTTGATTTTGAATGTTCTCATGTACATAATGAATTATTTTAGAGATGGCCCTCAGATCTAAACAAGAAATTCATTTATATGTTGTTCTTTATACACCTAGGCGAAGGTAACTTTTACAGGGTTTTTAGTGCGCCTGCATTCTGAATGTAAATGATCACAGGAGCTCAGGTGTGGACTTCTCTACACAGGGCATCACGGTGCTCCAAAGTTTTGCCTTTTGGAGCATTTTCCATCTCAGATTTCTAGACCGGAATTAATCAACCTGCATAGCAAAGAAAAATCCCACTTACTGCTCTTCAGCAGGGATGACATAATTTATATCAGAAATTAAACACCCCCAAACAGCAGGGGGAGGGCAGCAACAAAACCTCACAAAGCCCTGAAGGTCTGAAGGAGATCAACCCCCTTCCACCTGCCAGCCAGGCAGCAGGTGAGCCAGGTACTCCAGGCCTGACCTGTGCTCAGGGTCCCTGATCTACAGACTCCGATCTGGTCCAAGTTCCACTGCTGGGCAGAACTCACCTTCACTCTTCCTGTCCCACCTGCCTGCAAGGCTTCAACTCACCACAAACCCTAGTGCAGCTGTGGTCAGTTCCACTGTGAAAAGCTGTGACACTCATCACCAGGCGCATGCAGCAGAAGCATGCAGTGGGAGGTGATGGCCACGGAGTCCTTCTAGGGGCCCCATCTAGAGGCCTCATCTCACCATGCTCCCTACCCGCCCCCCCCCCCACTATTGCCACTTAGTATTGAAAGCCTGTAATATAGTCTTTAGGGACTCAAGAAACCCAGGAACCCCAGAGCTTTAGGAAACAGTTCTTTACATCCCCACTCCACATCTGTACCTGCTAGGCTCACCTCCTATCCCTTATGGCTTTGTAAGATGAACGCAACACCTCTTAGTTTTATTAAAAATCATCATTCAGTAGACTTTAAAACAGCCATGAAAACTGAGACAATGACAGACATCTGATAGGCATGAACTTAGGTTATGGCAGAAATTAACCATGCAAGTGGCACAAACAGAATGTAAATAGGGAAAGAATCCATCTAAGTTAGAAACAAGCATGATCTGTAAGAAGGAAATGTAAAGAAAATGGGGACACTTCTAATAAAGCAGAGGAGAGTCAACTGCCTATTTCATGCATTTAAGTCAGTGACTTTAGAAACTGTCTCCGCTACTAACTGGCAGCCTTACCACCCACTCCCTGCCATCTCTCTGCCGCCATTCCTGACAGCTGACAGCTACCACTGTGCATACACCAGGCTCATACTCCTAGAGCCCTGCCATTTTGAAGTAGTTAGGTTCCAGGAACACATATGGCTAGGGACCACATCTCCAGTGACTGTGGACAGCCCGAAGGCCAGAAGGATCAGAGTCAGTGTCCTTTGCCTCTTAGCCCACTGTGCATTCCCAACCATCTCCATGGCCTGCTGGGCAATTCAGCAGCCCCTTTTGCCAAGCTTAGCTTGTGGCTCTGGCCCACTATGGCCACTATCCCTCAGGAACACCTCAGATACTCCACAAACCTCTAGCAGGGAGCCATTTTGCATTTCTTATTGGCCTCCTAGGCATAAAATGTGGACAATTGCCCGGCGGTGGTGGCGCACGCCTTTAATCCCAGCACTTGGGAGGCAGAGGCAAGTGGATCTCTGTGAGTTCGAGGCCAGCCTTGGCTACAGAGTGAGATCCAGGAAAGGTGCAAAGTTACACAGAGAAACCCTGTCTCGAAAAATCAAAAAAAAAAAAAAAAAAAAAAAACCAAACAAATAAAATGTGGACAATCTTAGGTTCTGTACTAAGGCGCCAACGAGGCAGGTCTGCCACCACTGTCCTTCAAAATGCCTAGCACCAGGTAGACCCAGGCAGGCACCTGGGAATGTGCATCTCAAAAGGGTTTCTACCTAACCAATTACAGGTTAATTGGTTAACACAGTGACTAATCTGTGCAATACAACTTGTGCTGAACACACATCTCCTTTTGAAGTGTCTGCCACTAGGACAGGTGCCAGCAGAAGGTCTGAGTGACCTGTTCTCAACAACAATCCTGGGTGTAGCGTCTCTGGCAAGCTTCCCCCAGTGGGCATTCCACACGGGTCATTCACCATTATGCTGGGGGAGCTCAGTGCTTCTTGGTGACTACACTGGAGGCCTCCCGGAAGCTGCCCTCAAGTTTCCTCTAACCTGGTTCCATGCATCTTTGCTATCTGCTGAGTTTGTCAGATGTTTTCCCACACACAGCTGTGAGTCTACCTGCTGAGCCTGAATCCTCATGGGCATCTCTAAGTCTCAGATGCTCTTGGAGATGCCACCATAGGACCCCATTACACCTGGCCACCTTTCAATCCGTGCCCCACCCCCCATGTATTCAACCCATCACTTCCTAGTCTTGCCTTCGGCATCTCTGCTACAGCTGTGTCCTCTGGTCCTTTCTGGGGCTGCCCTCTTCCACCTCTCCCTCTGGTATCCTATCAGCCAATGCCTGGGAGCCATGGGGGTTGGCTGGTAGAGTGGGAAGAAGCTGCTGAGTCCTCATGTGTGAGCTACAGACCCCCAGGTCTGTGACAACAGGCTCAGGGTCCAAATGGGCATACACATGCCTCCTACAGACCAAATATACATGTTTTGCTTACACATTTTAATTACTGTTTAAACATGTTCAGATGCTGCTGTCCTTTAAAGGTCATGCAAATTATGGCATAGGAACGTCTACCACCCATCAGGGAAGTTTCACCATCAAGAAGGGGTCAGAGAGCCAAAAGAATGGAAGTTCCTGTTTATGATCCAACCTTCTCACTGTGACCGCTAAGGGAACAGGAATGATCAGTCATCGGAAAGGGTGACCAAGTCATGGCAACAGAGAGGCATGACCCAATGGGGCCTGCCACCTGAAAGCTGGAACCTGGTCAGCTGTTACAGACCCTGCCAGAGGGAAGGGTGCTCCCACAGAATAGCAGTCCAGCAAAAGGGAAGGACTCTTGTGGGTCCCTGGCCTTAGCCACATGACGTGTATACTCTGGCCTACACTGCAAAACTCTTCCTAAATAGCAGTGTGGCTCAGGCTGCCAGAGTGCCATGCTGCCAGCTGTCAAGCTTGTCCAGCACCTCTGTGCTTAGGAGACAGATCTCCATTAGCCCTTGGCTTCCCATGCAGGGTCCACTCTAGGCACAAGAGTGACTGGGCCATGCATAGATTACGACCACTATCTGGGGGAGTCGTTTTCTGATGAAAGGATGGGTTCAGCCTCTTCTTTCTCTGTTTACTCATGCTCTTCTGCCCCTCTGCCTTGCACGGTGGGATGACAGTGATATTGGCTGAAGCATCCTAGCCCCGCCCACACAAGCTCATGTTTTAAAGGCTTGTTCCCTGCCTGCTGAACTATTTTAGGTTATAGAAACTCTAGAGAGTGGACCCAGTGCGTCACTGGAGGTGGGTCCTTTGGGGGTGTAGTACTCCTGGCTCCTTCCTGTCACACCCCCTATCTCCCAATCATCAAGACTTGGAGAACACACGTTACTGCCGAGATGGTCTGCCCAACTACGTGGGTCAAATGACCATGACTGAACTCTCCGAAAGCATGAGCCAATCAACCCAGCCTCCATTAGGTGTTTCTGTAAGTGTTTGGTCTGAGCAACCAGCAAAGCAGCCAACCCACACACCAAGGCAACCACTGCCAGATGCTGCTTCCTTGCCAGACACTGGTCCCTTGATTTTGCATTTCTCAGCAGCCAGAACCATGAAAGAAAAAGAAAAAAAAAAAATCTGTTTTGTAGCTGTTGTTTGCTTTTTAAGAGAGGGTCTCATTATTTCAGCTCTGGCTGTCCTGGAACATATTGTGCAGGTCAGGCTGGCTTTAAACTTAGAGATTCGGCTGCCTCTGCCTCCCGAGTGCTGGGATTAAAGGCGTGCACCACTACCACCTGGCTCCATGTTAAGTATTTTAATATAGAAATACAAAGAAGACAGGTGGCCAGATATTCCATAGCTGTATCTTCATGCATTTTCAGTTTGTCAGCTCCATTTTTCACTGGTTTACTCTCTGTTTGTGTCTGTTTCTACTACTGTAACAGAACACCTGAGAGGAGGTGAGTTATAAAGACAATAGATTGATTTCTTACAGTTGCAGATTCTGGGAAGTCCAGAGTGAAGGGGCCATGCTGGTTGCAGGCCTCCTTGCTACATCATGTAATCCATGACAGTGTGATGAGGGACATCACATGGTGAACAAAGCAAGCAAGCAAGCAAGCCAGAAAAGCCTTTAAACAAGGCTACTCCCTCAATAGCCCATTAATAACAAGTCCAGTGACTTCCCCGCAAAGCATGAACAAGAAAGACACTGGGAATTAAGTTTCTAACAGGCAAAATGTGGAGGCTATTGTCAAACTCCAGCACTCTTGTTCACTTAGTGTTAAGTTGGTCCTCTTGAGAGCCATAACTATCTAAGGTGCCCTGAATGACAACATATTAGTTAGAAGACTTCAGCCCAACAGCTGACCCATCTGAGCCTTAGCAAACTCATCTGTAATAGTGAATCATGTCCTGGTTCATAGGGATAGTGTACAGACTAAATGAATACGTAAAATGTCTAGAATAAACACTGGAGTACATAAAGTGCTAGACTGGTCTGTCTAATATCCATTTACAGAGTGTGACTTGCCACCTCAGGCTCTTCTAAACATCACTCCTGACTTGGGTGGGGGGTGATGTGAGGCTCTTTATCTCAAGGCTAAATATATCTGGCTCCTTTAGGCCTTTGTGTGTGCTATTTTCCAGACCTCTCTCCATCCTAGCCTCAAAAGGAAATCTTTACTGACAATGTTTTTTATAAAATGTGAATGAGAACTTGCCGTGACTCCCAATGCTCCCTTCAGAGGTTTCCCAAACAGAAGAAGTGGAAGTGGGGATGTTGGTCAGATGGTAAGGTGTTTGCCTAGCATGTTCTGGGACTGACCCCCAGTGCTACCACAAGCCAGAAAGAGTGGCACACGCCTATAATTCCAGGTGGTTGTAGGAGGATCAAAAGTTCAAGGTCATATTCAGCCACATGAAACCCTGTCTCCAAAATAAGTAAATAGATAGATAAATAAAAATAAAAAGTGAAGAAAGAGTGAAAAGTGTGTGTGAGGGAGAGGGAGTGGGAAGAGGAGGGGAAGAGACAGAGGGCGTGGGGAGATTGACTCAGGAAGACAGCTACCACTGGCCTGCCATCTGGGCTCCTGCCCCCTTTCATCAGAAGAAAAGCTTCTGGAGCTAACTAGGACCACGGTGGATGACCAACCTCCTTCTCATGGCTGCCATGATGGACCTCCTAAAAACTACTTTTACGTGTCTGTCTCTGTAAGAAACTGCAGTTTCAGCACTCATAGGATGGGTCTGTGTATTGCAGTCTTTGTCAGCCTAGCCCCACTGCCCCACCATGGCCCAGGCTACCAGGTCAGATCCTGTACCATGCTACCACTCACTGTTCCCACCTGCAAACTGTGCACACACCCCTGTGATTCTTGGAGTCAAACTGAACACAATGATTGCAGGCCTTCCCTATGCCTTTCCATCAGACTGTGACCTTCTTGCATTCCCACAGACCATGCCTGACCATCATCCCCACGCAGCTACACAGTATGAGGCTACATCCTTCCTTCAACATCAGGTCTGAGAGATCCGCGGTCCAACTCCCTCTGGATTGAGAACGAGAAACCCAAATACGCAGTCTCTAGGATGGGGTCAGTGAGCATTTCTGTGGAAGAGTGTGCTTGGGTTGCCTGTCGGCTAAAGCTACAAAGGACACTCCAGGGCCAGGCAACATCCCATTTACCTTACTTACTGTTTCTCCCAAGATACTTGTGGGGTACTAGTGATATCTAGCCACACGCTGTTCTAAACACCCCAACACAGCTGCCTAAGTCTGGCCAAAGCTCATGGGCAACAAAATTGGACCTCTGACTCTGGGTGTCTACCCAGAAGGCAGTGCAGCAACTGCTCTGGCATCTTCACAGCCTACGACCCTGCCCAAACTGTGCCTAGGCCACAACAGCAGATAGGGCTCTTCTTCTCCAGCACTGGGATTGACACATTTTACCAGCATAACTTGGATCTGTTTTCTTTCTCCCCACTTTCTTGGCCCCATTCCCCGGGATTCCGTATTTAACAAAAGTAAATGTCAGATTTAGTTATCCCCTCAAGTCCCGCTCAGGCCTCGATCGTGCACACCCTCTCATGATATCTTGTACTGAAAAGCCCAAGGAATGAGCTCTCCAGGTAGAAAAAAAGCTCCAGGTCCGTGTTCCTGGGGGAAGGGGAGAGCCCTAGACTTCTGGCCAGGGAATCCTGGGCATCTGGCTGGTCTGGCTGGGCTCACCCAAGCTCAAAGTCGGCGGTGACGGCTCCTTTCAGGCCCGTCGCCCAGGGGGGCCGCGTTGCACCGAGAAGCCCGGTCAAGGCGTCCGTCGGTCCGCAACGGCTCGCCTTACCTGGAGCGCCATGGCGGAACTCAGCTTCGCGACTCCCCGGCCCACCCAGCTTCCGGCGCGGCTCCGGCAGGAGGCTGCACTGAGACCCTCGAGACCCTCGAGGACAGCGGCCCAGCTCCGCACGACAGGAGGCGGGGCCGGGGGCCGTGCCGTGCGGGGAGCCGCAGTGTTGGCTCGCCTGGGTCAGCCCCGCGCCTCGCATCGCGGGAGGGGGTGGTCCCGCTTCCGCCCGCAGCCCCCCGGCCTCACAGCGAGAACAACGCAGGCGCAGACTA